CCAAAATTAACCCAAAATTGGAGAAATATCTACGCAAAAAACTACTCTGTAGTCTGATTCATTTTTCAATACAACTTGAATCCTTTTTTTTTGTTTTTTCACCCTGGTAACGAACCTTCTTCCCCGCTAAAACCTCACGAGATTTTGATTTAAAAGCAGAAAAAAGAGTTTAAACTTACTCAATAAGACCTTTTTAAGCAGGAACTTCACGAAAATTCCTAAAAACTAGTACACTCTTCTCAAAACGCGAGTGAATCAAGTCAGCCAAACCTTGATCTATGTTTAGTGTCTCCAAAGCTAAGAACCTCACAAAGAAAAAAGAAAAGCTGTTCTTGGAATTATCGAGAATTACTAGCAAGAAAGAAGAGGAATGTTTAGATATTCCAATACAGCGAGTATGTTATAGACTAGAAAAACTTCAAATGGTAAACGCAAAAAACCTTTCTGCTGTCTTCTAAGCTGTAATTTTTTAGAGAAATACACTCCATCTTGACTGTCAGCAAGTCTGTCGGTATTGCAGGCTTCCTAAGGTTGCATCTAAAAAGCAATACAAAAAGCTGAACATCTGTTGTGAAAATGCACTAAAAATGTCACATAAACCTTTATTAACTTAGAAGTGTCACTAATTTGACAGACCGAACCACTTACTTTGATTAGCTAAAAAACTGTCGTACGTCGCTTCTGCTACGAGCCAAATTTAACTAGCAAAGCTTTAGGCTCCAAATATGGCAAAACCACTCAAAGATGAAATTTAATTTTCAGTTCTTGCTGATTCTTTCTTTATAAATTATCACTTTTGCGATGAATTTTATCCTCTATCGAAACTCCGCTAGATCTTGATTCTAGGACAAAAAAGAAATTGTTTTATTTTCGTTTAGTGTCTTTGAAGCTAAAACCCTCAAAAATTTTCAAAAACCTAGGCATTCTTCTCCAAACGTGAATGACTCAAGTTACTTGGATCTTAGTTTATTTTGGGAAAGGTTTATTGCAGAAAAAGAAGAAAAGCTGATCATAAAGCTATCTAAACGTAGCAAGAGAGCTTTTAAAAAAGCAAAATCAAAAAGTTTCCATGGAGTGTTCTCAGTTTCGACTCTTTCAAAAATCCACAACTGTCCGCTATCAGCACACCTACTGGTGGAGGAGAATTTTTGAGCTAAGCTTCAGCAAGAGTATAAAAAACCGAACGTCTTCTGCGAAAATGAGTAGTCTCATCAATTAAAAACGATCCGAGTACTTCCAATTGGAACCGCTTAGTCTGATTTTTTAGGCGACTCCTTTACATGTTGCATCTGCGGAGGGCCAGGTCAAGGTGGTGGAGTTTTTAGCTCAAAATGGGGCAGATATTGACGCAAAGAACGAGTTCCAGGTGAGATTTGTTTCTCAGTACTAGTTTATTCTTCTTTTTCACTTTCACAGTGAATTCTATTCTACACCGAAGCTATGCCAAATTTTGATTTCAGGGGAAGAAGGAGTTTATCTTTTCTGGTTTAGCATCTTTAAAGCTAAGGCTCCACAAAGATTCTTGAAAGTTCAGACATTCTTTCCGGAATGTAAATGGCCTAAGCTATTCGGACTTTAGCTTGTCTTTGATTATGAATATCATGAGGAAAAAAAGAGAACGAAAAAAAGCAGCTTTTTAAATCATCAGACCGCTGCAACATGGGTCGAAAACAAACACTCCACAGTGAAAAAATACTATAAACTAAAGAAGAGTAGAAGTAGTCCACAAGATAAAAAATAACAAAAAGTTTTTATAGAGTGTTCTAGGTTTTAGTTTTGGCTAGAACCCCCAGTTGTGTCACTACCAGTAAACTTGCTGGTGACGAAGGCTTTTCAAGGTTACGTTTTGGCAGGCGTATAAAAAGTGAACGTTCACTGCGAAAAAATATAAAATGCTACAGAAATTTTTGTTAACTTTAAACAGTCCGCGAATTTTACAAAAACTAAAACTAGTTAGTAATTGTCGCATCTGAAGAAGGCTAAATCAAAGTAGTTAAGTGTTTAGTTTGAGATGGGGCAGATATCAGTGCGGAGAACCATCATAAGTT